ATACCAAGCCTTAAGTCAGTCATTTTTGTTTCATTCCCCTTTTTAAGGTTCCGTATTTGGATTTATCTATCACTAAGTCAGACCGATGCTTTCACGTAGCTACTCCGATACCTCAAACATTATCATAAATCCCTTTTTTGTTTACAAACCATAACCCAAAAAGTATTAAATAACCAATACAGTGAAAAATGTATATCTCCAACGCCTAACCGCAATTAAGGACAGGCTCCCCGGGGACACCTGACCCGGTCCCTGGATATCGATATTAGTGCTGCACCTGCGCTATATGGGCGAATTAAAACTTATTGATTAATGGCCAAGGAAAGATATCCCTTTAGACTTTAGGTAGACTAGGTAAAGTTTGAGTGAGCCTTAAAGTTTTCCCAACGGGAGAAAAAAAGAGGTTTTTCTTAAAATGAAATGACAGTTATTAATGTTTCTTAAGTTTTAGACTCGTTAAAAAAGAGTACACTATTTTCCAATATTTGGATATGCTTCAGACCTTGAGAGTACGGCATTGTTAACTTATTACAAAAAATATTCATTGTGATGTTAAATATTCCTCGATTCGAGTCGTTAGGCAAGACCCAGTATAAAAAGGATGGTTTATTTTTAACAGAAACAACAAAGCAACTAAACGGTCCCGAATACAGCGTTCCTAAGTACTTACTTATTAACTATAATAACAAGAGCTTTACATAACATCAAGTACCGAATTAGTCTACGGATTAAGCGCGCGCGTCAAACAAAGACCTAACAAGGCACTAATCTGAAATGTAAATCTAATATCCAAATACACGGCTGACTTGAACTGAACATCATCTATCGTCTCTACAGATGAATACCTAAGATTACGGCAAATTTCCAGTGCCTATTTCACGAGCTTTGGTTTACTAGATTATGTTAAGGCTTAGCACCAATGGAGTTAATAGATCTATTTTAAATATTGTTAATTGTGAAAAATCTAAAACGTTAAAATAGCGGTATAGTTCCAAAATACTGAACTGTCCTATGCATGACATTGACAGTGGGGCGCCACCGTCAATACCGGATCTCTAGTTCCAATTTTTGCCATGTTGGAAACCATATAGTTGAACGATGGTAGCGCCCCCCTGTCATTGAGTTTGGCGGGACAGTTCAGCGTGGGTCATCTATATCGTTATAGCCAATGAGCTGCTGTCATAGTGACATTGACATTACGTCACGAGAATCAAACGTCAGAATAGAGGGACGCGCGGGGACGACTCCCCACGCTTTTGTGCTAAGTGATAAATTGTATTTAAAATAAGGCAATATAATGTGAACGTTAAGTATTCAGTGTTTTATTTATGAGAATAGATCTACCGGCCTCTAATAATACCTATCTAGTACCCAGACGAACGCATTCCCATCATTTCGAAAGCCAATATGGTTAATCGAACAATATTTTTTCTCGTAGTAATTAAAATTAATGAAACAGACAAGAAATCGTAGGAAAATTTTCAGGGGTTCATTTTGTGTATGTTTAATACCTAAATAAACAGAGGAAACGAAGAAAACTTTTACGGCTGGGATAAAGTAAGAGTACCTACTACCTACGTTCGTAAATGAAGCGGAGTTACGATTCACACTAAGAAACATTAATTGATAAAAACTTTAGCAGCTGAAATAATTGTATCGTTATTTTCTTACAAAAATGCGACAAAAAAAAAAAAAAAACAAAAATCAAAAAATATTTATTCAGTTTAGACCACAAGTGGCACTTATGAACGTCAATAGAAAATAATAAAAAAAGNCAAACGACAAAGGCCAACGACAAACACTCCCCGTGTATCTGAGGCTTTACACCAATGGGGCCGTGTGTCTTCTGTCACAGCGAACGTAATTTAAACCTATTCTAATGAATCGCGCCTGTTATTAGCAACGGTACGTTTGAATATTCATAAAATAGGCTAACTTTAGATTTACTTCATGATGACAAAATTAATTATCAATCTATAATCCAAATAATTTAACTGAAACATTTATGCCGTAATTTCTATCTGATTAGACATTAGAGATAGGAAAACTTGATGTCAATGTAATAAACTTTAGATAGAAGTCAGTATGAGTATTATTTACGCTGCAGTGCAAAAAATGCACAATCATAAATATTGTATTGCTAAAAAGTATTCCAGTTTAAAAAAAATACCTGTTAGAAAACAGATTCCTAAAGGACCTGTAAATGCTAAAAATAACACACCATAGTAAGCACGCACCCTAATCAAACCTGTAAAACACTGAAAAAAACACAGTTCCTACCTACTCTATATTAAAGTAGCTAACATTAAACCGTACCTGTAAACACATAATAATAAAAATTCAAAAAGCCGAGAATAAAACAAGAACACTGGGAAAATAAAAAAAGACTTACCCAGTCAGGAATCGGCATCAGCGATCAGGATCAGCTACCAGCAGCAGGAGTCGCACTAGCACACTTATAACTGCGAAAGAAATAATTGATGGTTATAAATGAGTCATTAAAATCACTGTTCTTCTTGTAACTATTCTTTTACTTTCTGTATTCTAAAACAGTTTAAATCTAGGTGTCACTGAATAAGTACGGTAAGATAAGTAACTAAGGTAAGATCTATTTATACTATTATTCTAATAATTCACCTAATGCTCCTATACTGTAACTGTAGGTAAAAAAGGTAAATTTCTTCTTCTTCTTTGCTTGGCCCATTCTGATTTTATTTGGGGTCGACCCTCCGTATCATCAGTAGTATGTAATCATGTATATCCGTATCATAAGGTAATGATCTAACACAACTATTTAAACATTTAAAATTAAAATAATGTCAAAGATCGTACACATAACTGTAACTACAAAAAAAATATCGTGATTCAAAAACCCCGAGAAAACAAAAAACCCGAAAAACTGACTTACCCCAATAGGCTGGGCAGTCAGCGTGAACCGCTGCACCAGAATCATCTGCCTGCGGCAGGAGTGTAGCACAAAGACAAATCGTGCCAAGGGTTGATTGGTTATTTACCACTGCGGAAGAAATTAACCGTTAAAATACTAATAATATGAACCGTAAAACGGGACTATCCCACCTCTCTTTCCCAAGCTGCTACTCCTGTGTAGCCAGGATCTACAGCTTGACCGCCAATAAAAACCCAACCAGTGAAGGTCAAGTTTGTCCCGAAGGAAAGTTAAACTGTCATTGGACCCGCAACGAAATTAATCAGAACAGGTTCGACTTCCCACCATTGCAAAGCGGACCGTAACAACAGCTTACATCGTGACGTAATACAGTACATTATTATTCTGTGCCAATATGTGTATTAAATGGGCTGCCTACATGGGTAGGAAGGTAGCGGAATGGTGAGTTTGGTAGAAATCCGGTACGATATTGTTGGTATTTGTATTTTCACACGCAGTAGGTACAGTCTTTTGAATTGTAATGGCTGAGAGACTGATCGATAAAAAGCAGCACGCCTGTGCGTGCTGCAAACTAATTCTTACAATGTACCATAGATGGCGCTACATCTGTATGTAGCTATGTAGATGGTATGTAGCGCCATCTATGTAGCATTGAAATAATTAGTTTGTCCCGACTCCCGGTAGTTCAGTAAGAAAGGAAGAACCATAGATGGCGCTTCACAACAGTTGCTTATAAGTAAATAGAGGGCGCTAAATATTGGTAAGCCATGAATATAGATGACCCACGCTGAACTGTCCCACCAAACTCAATGACAGGGGGGTGCTACCATCGTTCAACTATATGGTTTCAAACATGACAAAAATCAGAACCAGCGATCCGGTATTGACGGTGGCGCCCCTCTGTCAATGTCATGCATAGGACAGTTCAGTATTTTGGAACTATAAACGCATTAAATTGGAAAAGAATGACTACTCACAGTCAGTGAGGGTCGCAGCATCACCGGCCGGGATCAGCTCCCCGAGCCAGCAGTGTAGCATAAGTGGGTTATACGCCATTCAATTATTTGTTGTCCACGGCCTCGGCGCTTTAACACTGCGGAAGAAATTAATGGTTAGGAGTTAGGAGACTAATGTCCGTTTTCACCATCAATCCCTAATTTTTAAGTGACTCCTATGAATACAAAATGCTTGTATTGTGTCACCAAAGGGGTCACTTAAAAATAAGGAATTGATGGTGAAAACAAGGATAATATACCTTAAAAACAGCTTAAATTTGAGTGTAAATATTAAGGCTGCCTACAGGAGCAAAGTTTGTAAGGTAGCGGCGTGGTGAGCGAAGTAAAAATCCACAAAAGAATTGCATATAATAAAATCTTCGATCTCCTTCAGTGGACAGGGAATTGCGAACTAGTTAAATTCTCACAAACATCCGGGAAGCGATGTGGGGAAGCGTATTGATAAACATCTGTTGCGGAGAAAAACTCTGGAGCCGGTTTGGTAAAGTTGTATTTATACTACACGCAGTAGATGTTGCTTTTACATTGGTTCGAGAGAGAATGTTATAATGGTCGCACTCGTGAACAGCACGGACGGACGTGCGCAGCGCCATCTATGATTCACTATTTAAATAATTTCGTAAACTGTTAACTGTCCTGTTAGTTCTTATAAAGCAAGATGAATTATAGATGGCGCTTTACAAACATTTGTTTTATAATAATATAGGTAGATGGCGCTAACATGGGTTCGGAACAACATCAAACAAAAATTTCGATAAATATTACTTACAGTCAGTGCGGCCGCAGCATCGCCGACCGGGGACAGCTCACTGACTTAGAGATGGACCGGCTCCCAGCGGCAGCAGTGTAGGCAAGCGGGAGACAAATCGCGCCATTCAAACGTCTCTTGTCCGCGACCTCGGCGCTGTCACTGCGGAAGAAATTGATGGTTGGAATAAGTATGAACCATAACAACAATTTGTTTCTTGCGACACTAAAACAGTTTATATCTGGGTATAGCATAATATTAGGCTTCCAAATGAGTTAGATGGTGGAGCGGTGAGCGAGGTTTATTAAAATTGCATAAAATCGCCACTCTTCTTACAGCAAACAAGGTGTTACAAAGTAGTTAAATTCATACAAAAAAAGTAAACGGAGCCAGGTAGCGGACCGGGGAAGCAGATTAAAGCAGTGTAGTGAGGAAGCAGAGCGGAGTACTAGAGAAGGGAAGCTAATGGGGGAAACATAGCGGGGAAGCTGATGATCAAATCAAATCAACAAAATTAAAAAAAAAATAGTAACAATTAGTGCGGTCGCAGCATCAACGGCCGGGGACAGCTCTCAGATTAGAGATGGAGCAGCGCCCCGCGGCAGCAATGTGGCACAAGCGGGAGTTATATCGCGCCACTCAACCGCTTCTTTTCTGCGACCTCCGCGCTATTTTTGTCACTACGGAAGAAGTATAATTAGGAATAAACCAAAAATGAATAAAATTATAACAATGAGAACGACTGTTTTATTATAATTCTAAAAACTGTTTATGTACATCTAGATGTAGCGAGCATTAGGCTGCCTACACGAGCGTAGCAAAAGTAGCGGAGCGGTGAGCTAGGTAAAAACTCCAACATAATTGCATAAATCTCCTCTCTAAATGGACACAAGTGCTTACAAAGTTAATCATACAAAAACCGGGAAGCGGAGAGGTGAAGTGAGAAATTACTTAAAGAATTAGGGAAAAAGATGCGGAGAAAGAAGCAAAACGGGGTAGCGGAGCAATGCAGCGAAGTGGAGAAGCGGAGTGGGTAACCAGAACATAATAATCGCAATTCAAAAATCCGAAAATAAAACGAACACTTAAAAAAGAATGACTTACAGTCAGCGCAGGTCGCAGCACCAGCGGCCGGGCGCAGCTTTCCATAGCAACAGATAGCAGTGTAGCACAAGCGGGAGACAAATAGCGCCATTCAACCGTTTGTTGTCCGCGACCTCAGCGCTGTCACTGCGGAAGAAATTGGCGGTTAGGATACTAATGAATCATAACAACAGCTTACATCTGGGCGTTATACACATTAAGGCTGCCTACAAATGTAGCAAAAGGTAGCGGAGCGGTGAGCTAGCGAGGTAAAAATATTTTATAGAATTGCACAAAATCCGTGCCCCACTTCAGTGGACAGGGAATTAAATTCATACAAAGCCGGGAAGTGGAACGAAGCAGGGAAGTAGAGTGAAAAGCTCAGCGAGGATGCGTAGCGTGGTAACCAAGCAGGAAAGTTTATTATAAAAAAAAAGTTGATGATCGCCATCGCCATTCAAATAAGCCACGAAAAAAAAACTTCCAAAACAATTAATTACTTACAGTTAGCGCAGGTCGCAGCTCGCAAATTCGAGATGGACTGCAGCGGCAGCAGTGTCGGCACAAGGGGAATACGTATATCGCGCCATTCAACCCTTTCTTGCCCGGGACCTCGGCGCTATTTGTCACTGGAAAAAAAATCGTTGGTTTTATTTCAAGTATTTATAAGGACAACCAAAACATAGAGAAACACTATAATAAATAGTAAAGAATAAACAGTAAAAACAATTATTGTATCTAGATAAGCACATAAGGCTGCTTAAAGCTGTAAGTGAGGATAAAATTTACATAAAATATCGCTCCTTTTCATTGAACAGTGGTGTTGAAAACTAATTAAATTCGTACAAAAAACCGGGAAACGATGCGAGGCAATGGAATAGGGAAGCAGAGCATGGTTGCGGAGCGGAAAAGCAGGGAAGCGTGTCGAGGAAGCGAAGCGCAAGTCGGAACAAGGATGGAAAGCGGAACGGGGAAGCTTATGATCAAAAACCATAATGATCGCCATCGCCATTCGACAAGCTGAGAAAAAAACTAAATCTTTGAACAGAGTGACTTACAGTCAGCGCAGGTCGCACAACATCACCGGCCGGGATCAGCTCCCTGATAGCAGTGTAGCACAAGCGGGTGACAAATCGCGCCATTCAACCGTTTCTTTGCCGCGACCTCGGCGCTATTTGTCACTGCGGAAGAAATTGACGGTTAGGACATAATGAATCGTAAACAAGTGTTTTCTTGATTTTAAAAACAATTTACATCTGGGTTTACCTAGCACATGGAGCGGTGAACGAGGTAAAAATACTCCAACATCATCTCCTATCCTCTTAAATGGACACAAGTGCTTTACAAAGTTAGTCACACATAAACCGGGAAGCGGAGAAGTGAAGTGAGGAATTAAAGAATTAGGGAGAAAGAAGCGAAACGGGGTAGCGTAGCAATGCAGCGAAATGGAGAAGCGGAGTGGGTAACCAGAGCAGAGAAGCACAATAAAACATACCTAATAATCGCAATTCAAAAAGCCGAAAATAAATCGAACACTTAAAAAGAATGACTTACAGTCAGCGCAGGTCGCAGCACTCTCTAATCTGTGGTCGCAGCACCGGCGCAGCTCCCCGATAGCAGTGTAGGCAAGCGGGAGACAAACCGCGCCATCCAACTCTTTCTTCTCCGCGACCTCGGCGCTATTTGTTAGAGCGAGGTAAAAATTCACCAATAAAACCACCACTGTTTATTTGATCATCAGCTTCTCCGCTCCGCTTCCCCAGTAACCACCATCGTCATTAAAAAAGCCGAGAAAAAAAAGACTTTTTTTTTTAAAATGACTTACAGTCAGCGCAGGTCGCAGCACCGACCGGGATCAGCTAAGTAGGTACTCGCAGCAGCAGTGTAGGCAAGCGGGAGATAAATCGCGCCAATCAACCCTTTCTTGTCCGCGGCCTCGGCGCTATTTGTCACTGCGGAAGAAATTGATGGTTAGGACTGAACACTAAAACCGCTTACATCTTGATGTAGCACTCATTACGAAAGGTAGGTAGTTACCACATCTACCTACCATCCTTCATTGTGCAAAAATCCTTCTACAAAATGCTTATTTTACAACAAAGGGTAACGAAGCCACAACTTGAGGGTAAGTAAAACCAAAAGTTACGCTAAGCTACTATCACATTACTTACTACCGCTAATTAATAAATTGGCACCGTAATAAATAAATAAAAGGTATTTAATTCAGGCATAGCCCATAAAAGTAATGATGAGAAATTGAAAATGCGAATTACGCCCTATTCACTATTCAGAGACTGCGGTAATCACGCGATTCTAAAATTTTATTTACAATACAAGGGTAGGTAGGTACTAACATCTTACCAACCACGCCACGTCACGCCAATGAGAACCGAACCACAAGTTTGAAATCGTATGAACAAAGTCTTAAAAAATTATAATAAAAATAAACTTTTTTAAAAACAAGCTTTTATTCTGAATTTCGAAAGTTTGTATCGCGCATGGAATTTATTCCTCTTTTTCTCTGTTTGCGCTACAAGCTTTCGAAATTCAGAATAAAAGCTTGTTTTTAAAAAAGTTTATTTTTATTATAATTTTATTTTACACTTTTTAGTTATATCTTAATCTCAGGACCCTGGACGTTATCTAACACTAAAGTGCTCGAAAAGACAAATCCAACGAACCCAAACTCGATGAGTTTCCGCCGTTTTGTTTAGGAGTTCCTATGGCCACCTCCCGACTCCATCATCAGACCAGCTCAATGGTACCATAATATTGCATTGTCATCGGACTTACACATGTATGCAAAATTTCAGCTCAATAGGAAACCGGGAAGTGGGTCAATTTTAAGTTGCAAGATTTGACGACAGACACCAGACATGTGAAAGTAATAAAAAGCTTGTAATTATAATTCTCAACCATGATATTCCGTACCTACAAATTATTATCTAGAGTTTAAAATGAATGACTCACCTTCATTGCCGATTCGCTGCTCGATTTTGTTGCAACTGGGATAGTCCGTTTCAACAGGTTTCAACTACCCGCCGCGGATAACTTTTACAAGCGGGATATAAATTTTGCCTTTCACCCCAACATTGTTCATGACCTCACTGCTATTTGTAACTATTTCAGGACCTGTAGAACAAATTTTATTGGTGGTAAGTGGTAAAATCGACGGAAAACCTGTTTTTCTTTTGTTCATTAAAAATGAACTTGCAAACCAATAACACCGATTCTTAGAGTAAAAACTTACTCGCTTTTCAACAATTTTTACATCGAGAAGACGATGGATGGATAATAATTTCTTAGTGTGCGGTGGCCGGTGATTTTACAAAATTTTCACAATTTCCAAAGCGACTTACTTAGTACACGAGGAGAGACGAGGATCTTGGCCATTTGCAGCTAACAACCAGCGAATATCAATCAATTACAACGTAGAAACTTCTATTACGATTAATATTTCGAAGAGACTACGTTCGCGTTGTGTGATAAAACAAAATAAAAAAAATACGCGGGTAAGATGCTCACTGATTCGGATGAAGAATTTTTTTTGTTTGATTCTTTCCTATTGCAGGAAAATGCAAAGGCATTACGCCATACAGCCAAGTCTTCAGATTTGTTTTGTCAATGATCCTAAACTTAATTAATAAAAAAATTTCGGGTAAACACTTTCAGAAAATAAAACCTAACGGCTAAATATACGCTACAATTTTCCACCAAGAAGTCCCGATTGAGGAAAATACTATTGCACCGCCATCTTACGAAACAAAGCAAGACTTCTCGTTCAGTTTCGCGGGAAACTAAAAATCGTATTGTGAATCTTAATCTAATCCATAAAATTATTGAAAATATTTATTAACCTTACTGTAAAATAATTATGTTTTAATAACTAGATCAATCTATAATTAAATTGTTTTTAATATTCAGTTTAGTTGTGAACAGAACGCACTTGTCAGGCAACGACTAGTGGTAAGCATACACTACGACGCAGATTTATCGATATAAAATTAGACTTGTTGTTACCGAATCGTTGTTAGAAAAACGGGTTTACTTAATAATTATTTAAGAAAGTTATTTAAGCTTTTGTTTCGCTGAATTATTGTATTTCTTGTATTATAATTTATTTTCAATCGTCAACCTCAACACTCAAGTGATGCTACAATGTGTAATGAGTGGTGGTGAATTGACATATAATTTTCACTGGATGAATCCCAAAATCCCAAAAAATAATTATTTGCCGTTCAACACTTATCTTTTTCAACGTCGTCTTAATCGTATCGTAAAGTCGTAACACTGCGCGCCGCACTATGGAGCGAAATTGCGATTTATGGAAATAGCGATTTTTTTCACAATTTCTATTTGAAAAAAATACCTATCGATAGGTTACGTTATTCTGATGAATAAATGCTGCACAAGTTTTTCTCTAAA